CTGTCTTTTTTCCCAAGTCCACCCCTACTGAACCTCAGGCTGCACCCAGCTCACTGATGCACTGACTGATTACAGTCCTGGGATGGAATCCAGGGCCTTCACATTCCAGCCTTTTTGTTTGTTTTAACTGAGGCATGATCTCTCTAAGTCACTACCCTGCCCAGGTGAGTTTCTGATCCTCCTGCCTCACCCTTCCAGGATGCTGGGATTACAGATGGGCCTGGCAGCAGTTTCTAATAAAGTTAAATATACTTTTTACACAATGACCAGCAATACCACTCCTGAGGGGCTGGGGATAAAGCTCAGCGGCATAAGAGTCTGTCCGCCCTACAAGCACAAGGACCTGAGTTCAATTCCCTGTACCAATTAAAAAAAGAAAAAAACAACACACCTCAGTATTTAGTTACCTAATGGAAATTTAAAAAACAAAAAACCCTAGGTCCACAAGAGGTCTTCTATAAGAATGTTCTGAGAAACTAAACATTTGTGAAATAGTACCAAACCAGAAACTTCCTCAAAATCCAACTCTAACAAATGGATAAAGGAATACAGGGAAGCCAGGTATGGTGGTATCTGGGATTACAGCTGTAATCCCAGGCAGGAGGATCATTATTCAAGGCCAGCCTGCACTACACAGTGAGATCCTGTCTCAAAAAGTAAAAAAAAAAAAAAAAAAAAAAAAAAATTATATATGTATAGTGAACAGGAAGAGAATCAAGAAAGAAGCCAAATCACGTCTTCCAGTGAGCCAGCAGGTTGAGGGGTGCAAGACAAGCGCACCCCCCCCCCAAAAGCACCCCCCTCCGGCAATGGGCTGATTCGGAGGAAATCAGGCTGAGATGATAGTAACTGAAGTAAAAAATATAATGTAATGCTTGTGTGACTTGACTGACTTTGCTGACCTAAGGCTGGAAGTCTGAGCACCTGGCACCTAGAACAATACGCACTGTAACAACTGTGTGGGATTTCCTCCTGTCTTGTTTTTGAAATCCAATGTTTTGCTCCATTTTACTGTTTTATTTCTGTATCTGGTAATTGAGCAAATACTTTGAAGGTAACAATACACAATTTAACCACCATTGTTAAACCTATTGAAAACCTATGTAGTATGGCCGGGGATTTAGCACAGTTGCAACAAGCCCTTGCCTGGCAAGTTGTGAGTTCAATTCCCAGAACCCCCTCAAAAAGAGAAAACCTATGTAGTTACTGTTGTTCTTTGTTGTCATTTTGCTTTTGCTGTTGTTTTTTGTTTGCTTCTTTAGTTTTCTCTTTAGAATAAAAAATACCATATATATATTCCAAATTTAAACAAAAATTGCCAGTAATTATGTCCCTCCCCTTCACTGTTCTTGCTACTTTTTGGCAGAGGCGTGAGGCACACACAATCTTGTTCCGCAGTACAGGCTGACCTTGAATTCTCACTAGGTAGTCCAGGCTGGCCTCAAACGTGTGGTGCTCAAACTCCTCCTGCCTCAGCCTTCCAAGCATTGGGATTACAGGGGTAGCACTACCCCCACTCCAGGCATTCTTGTCGCTTTCTGAAGCAGTTCTGGAATGAAGTCCTCTTCACCAAAAAGACACTGAATGCCACTGGTGAGTGCTATTCAATGGAAAGGCAAGGCTGGCTCATAAAAACATAACAATGTGTCCTCTTTTGCCTTTTTCATCACATTTGGCACTGTGCAACTTCAGGCTCTCCCCCAAATCAAGATGACCATGAAAGGTAAATTTTGGCAGGGACAGGGGCAGAAGTACCAGACTTAGGGTGCTTCAATTGCTGAGCTAAATCCCTGGCAAGGTGAATGTTTTGAATTGATATAGGCAGCCGTAACACTGCAACTAAAGACACAAAAACAGACTTCAGAACTGCTTCAGAACATGACAAGAATGATGGCCTGTGTTCAAAGTAAGGGAGAGTATTTTAAGGTAATTAATAATGGTAACGTGGGAGCTGGGGATTTAGCTCAGTAGCATACGCACCTGCCTGGCAAGCTTGAGGCTGATTTCAATCCCTGGAACCAAAAAAAAAGGTAATGTGTCTTGCACTGAAATAATGTTTTAAAATTACTGCATTTTCAGATTATACTGCAGCATATTCAGAGAACAAATTACTCAGCAATAAAAGGACTAAGCCACCGATTCACTCCAACAAGAGTGACTCTTTTTTTTCTTTTGTCTTTTTTGAGACGGAGTCTCGCTTTGCAGTTCAGGCTGGCCTTGAGCTGTTTGTAGCCCAGGCTGGTCTTGGATCCTCCTACCTCAGCCTCACCTCAGTGCTGGGATTAAAGGCCTGAGCCACCACGCCCAGCACAAGAGTGACTCTTATAGTTAACTAAGGGCAGGGAGCTTGACACAGAAGTGTCACAGTATAATTCCATGTATGTGAATAGGCAAAAGCCAGTCACCTACAGCTGACATAATGGATAAGTAACAAGGTCAGGATTAGCTAGAATAGGCAGCAGGGAACTTCTGAGATTCTGGAAGTGTGTGTGGGTTACACAGGTGTCAACTCAATGAGCCATACACAGTAACTATGACTTTCACTGTGTGTACATTACAGTTCAATGAAAGAAAAGAAAAATGGGCTAGGGATATAGCTCAGAGGCACAGTAACCGCCTGGCAACGCAAGGTCTTAGAGTTCGATTCCTAGTAGGCGCACGCACACATATACCCTAAAAGACACTGGAAACCTTTGCTATTCCAAGGCAGAAAACAAAATGCATACATTAAGAAAAAAAAAAGACAAGGTCCTTTGGTTGGTTTGACAAACTGTGGTCTGTAATTTACCTTGGGTCTCATCCATAAAAATGGGAATAAAACAACTAACCCTACTAGGAATAATATCTGGCATCGCAGGGCTGGCTAAAAGGCAGAGGTGGAAACAATCGGCAATCAGAACACTCACGAAAAGTCCTTTTTCCCCGGCTCAGCTTAAGTAAGAGCTGATACAGTGGATTCTTACTGAACTATCTTGGCCATGCTCTCACCCTTTTCCTGGAAACTGTCCCCCTTTCTACATGGACGGGGGCAGAGGAGGGAGCCAGGCTCCCAGCCGCAGGGCCAGTCTTACAAAGGCTTGTAGCAATCCAAGGTTTCGGATAACACCAAATCATACTCAAGATATGAGACAAACACTAATGAAAGTAGTTCACTCTTTTTGGAAATTAAGACAAGTTAAATGTATTTTATCCAAAGGCCAACTATGTTACTCCTAGAGATTTTACCCAAAGGGGACCAAAAAAAAAAAAAAAAAAAATAGTATGATCACGTCTTGTTAAGCTTTATTCACTGCCCAGTACTTAACCTCCACTTCTCATAGTTTACCTACAGCAGCATTTCCAAATGCAAAAGATAGGAACACACCCCAACAACTACTTCCCACAAAGAGCTGGCTCCTGGCGTAGAAAGAGCAGGTTGAGTACTCCTTTTATCACACCAGTTCGGTCAGGCTGGATTACAGCCAACAACCAGGCTCAAGTAGATTTATCTTTCCTGTAGATCATGGAGTACATTTGCCTAATGCAGTGCCCTAGATTTTACAAATGACATTCACTAATGTATTTCGAAGTCTGCAGATTGGAGCATTTTCAAGGAGCACACAAGACACTTGTATAAAATAGTCTGCCCGATCATCAATAAAAAAAGCACTATTTTGAAGCCACTTACTGTGCTTTCGCTCTGATACTAAATTTCTGTAAATAATTCCTTGGCTTTTAGAAGAGTCAGGGTTTAGCCAATACACTGATGTGCCACCTCCATTCACTGTGCGGTAAGAACTCCATGCACACTAAAGATCTGGTTGAAAGCTTTTAAGGACAAAAATTTCTATGGTGTGGCCACGATTGGCACAGACTAAAGGAAACTCGAAACTGAACAGCAGAATGAGTCGGGTGTGGTGGTGCATGCCTATAATCTGGCATACTGGGGGGTGGAGAAAGTGGTCAAGACCACCAGTTTGAGCTCAGCTTGGGCAACTAGCTTAGCAAGACCCAGTCTCAAAACAAAAAGTTTGCGCCGGGTGTGGTAGGCCAGCCTGGGCTACAAAGCGAGCTCGAGGCCAGCCTGAACTGCATAGCGAGACCCCGTCTCAAAAAAGACGAAAAAAAAAAAGTTTGAAGACCGCTGGGGATAAACCTCAGTCCTGAGTTCAACTGATACAGCAAAAAATAAACAGAGCGAACACCGTACTGGGGGAAACGTTTCGTTTAAAATGAAAACGCGTAAGTCGTCGAATCAACACAATGTCCACACTACATTAAAAAAAAAACTACCAAGTATTAAAAATACGCCAACAGAAAAACTCTGACTCGTGTTGAAAGAGATAAGAATGCACTCTCCTCCCTTCAAAGTCCTTCTGCCACCGGGCTATTTTCAGGCATTTTCTCGCGCTGCTGCGCTGGTCACTGCCAGTAGGCAGCGGCAGCTGGGGTCAAACTGTCGGCCAAGCTATCACGAAACACAAAATGCAAAGGATTCCGCCCAGCGTCCACGCAGTGCACGAGGACGACCGCGAGGTCTCTTCACTGCCCCCCAAGTAGCACTGCTCCCCTACCAAATATGACCTCAAATGCGCCAATCCAAAGAAAACCCCACCAGCAGATGCGCCCGCAGCGCCCGGCGGGCAATGCGCAGGACCGCGGGCGGAACACGGCTCTCCGGGCGGCCTCGAACGCAGCAAGCCCAGGCGGAGGCCGTCCTGGAGGAAGGCCTTCAAGGCTGCAAGGGACTGCTTCGCAGCGTGGCCGCGCGGGTTGGGAGGCGGCGCGGGCAGGGAGCAGAGCCCTCACGCCGGGATGCAGCCGGCCCGGGCCCCTCCCGACGGCCGCGCGCACCCCCAAGGCGCAGCCAGCGCGCAGGGAGCCGCGCGCGCTTTCTAGGCCCAGACCTCCGCCCCGCCGCCTGGCCGGCCGGGAATCGTTCCAAGCGCCCGCCGAGGGGCTGGAGCCGGGGGGCGAGCAGCGGGGCGTCGCCCCCACCGCCGGCCGCCAGGTGCGCTCACCAGGTACCACACGCCGAGCAGGATGGTGCCGGTGCGCACGTGGCAGCACAGGCAGCAGCTGTTGGAGTAGAACCGCGTCCAGGGCGCGACCATCTTCATCGCTCCGGCCCCGGCGCCCGCGCGCGCCCAACTTTGCGAGAGCAACGACCACGCCGCCCCGGGACCCGCGCGCTGCTGCCGCCGGCTCCCCGAACGCCCTTCCCCGCAGCAGTGACGCTCTGGCTCCCAGGCCGCTCGCTGACCGCAGGCTCCTCCCGGGCCAGAGAGGTCCTGACCACTGCGCGAGAGAGCTGCGCTCCGACGCTGACTACCCCAGAGACTGCGCGGCGATGGGCGGGGCGAGAAGGCGAGGGGCGGGGCGAAGGGGCGGAAGGGGCGGGGCCAGGACAGACCGGTGCCTGGAGGGGCGGGGCGGTGCTGGCGATTGGCGGGTCGGGGCGGGTTAGTGCAGATATGGGCGGGGAGATGAAGGAAAGAGGCGGGGCGAGCGTTGCCACTTGAACCCGATTGGGCGAATGAAGTCACCGCAGGCTCCGCCAGCTGCGGGGTTTTGGAGCAGAGGGGCAAAGTAAATAAATACATCATCGGTTATCCGAGCCCGCGCCAGCGGTGGCGTTCCGGGCCTTCCCCTTCTCCTCTAGCCAGGGTTCCATTTACAGTCTAGGCTGTTGCAGCACCTCCCCCTTGTATCTTGCAGATAATCCTCAGGAGCAACGCTATAGCTGTGATTATCTTGCAGAGTGGAGGAAAGAAGCCTGCACAGTGTGATTCTAATCCACTGCAGTATTTTGAACCGCTGCCGAATCCGCTGAGAGCAGTTTGTGTCTGCTTGCCAGCTCAGTGACTGTGGTAATAGCCTTTTCCCAGAAGATAGAATGTGTGTCAAGGGCACCCTCGCAGTGCTTGAGTAACATTTTTAATCGTAACTGCAGCTCTGGGGAAACTTATCAAACCGATAGCTGCCAGGAGGTCTCCCGCAAGACACAACACCAAACTGATAGGACCGGGGCTTGAAGAGGGGGACTTCGCAGCTGGTGTTTGCCTCCAAGGCCCTTATCCAAGGTTGGCCTTGGACCACCTGGAAAGCCAAGAACCCCAGATAGCTTATATTTTTAGCACGTGTGAAAGCTTGATTTCAGATGCTGAACAAGATGAAAACGGTTTCGATTTAAATTTTTCCAGGTTATTTCAGCTTCTTTTGCGTAAGGATTAACTTGATTGGGGTTGGGAATTTAGCTCAGCGGCATAAGCGCCTGCCTCGCAAGCGCGAGGTAGTGAGTTCAATCTCCAGTAGCGCAAAAAAACAAACAAAAAAAATTAACTTCATTATAGTGACAATTGAAACTGGCCTGTGTGGGAAATTTGCCTGTTAGCTTTTTAATTCTGGGCTGTTGGGAAATCAGATAAACAGTTTAGTTTCAGTTCCATTTTAACTTGAGTTTTCTCTACCACCACCCCGCCTTTTTAAAAAATTAGTATATGTTTGTGACACATAAGCACATTTATCTGAAGTGGATTCGAGAACAATATAGGAATCCAAGCAGCCAAATTGATAAATTTGGAATTTTGGAGTTCAGTGACCACCCACGAAGATTCCTGTTTCAGAGTGGCCTGAACTGGAAAGTTGCAGAGCTTTTAAAACAGAAAACCCCAAAAAGACATCCTGCTATTTGCTAGAATTTTACATTAATTTTTAGTTGACCCCTGTATCCTGCTTCTTTTTTGAGCAGGTTAATTTTTCTCCTGCGGGTACAGCCCATTCTGCTTTTCTTTTATGTCCTGAGTAATTTTTCACTCTTCTGGGACAAATACAGGGTACAAGATGATGTTAGCTATGCCAAGCTACAACATTATCATGGGGAATTGTTGCAGATGCATACCACATCTTGATCTCATTTTATCAATTTAAATTTCTTAAGGGCAGGTTATACAGGAAGAAACACGATGTTAGATAAATCTAAGTCCAGGACTGGGTACAAGGCGCACCAGCAGCCACTTACTCATTACATAGCTTAAACCTGTTGATGAGTAGAGACAGAGCCAGCCCTGGACATACCAAGTGTAGGTCCTTGAGCAAAAATTAATTACATCAAAGGAGAAAGCTCAGCTTTTGTTTCCTATAACATTGGAGATAATTTTCTCTCTGGGACCTTGCATGTAGTATGAGCTACAGGGTTGGCTCAATGATGGAGCATTTCTTTGCCCAGCACATGTGAGGCCCTGGCAGGGATTCAGTGCCCAGCCAGGGGAAAGAGATTAATATTTAATTATGCCACAGCCTTTTCTAGTGTGGGGATACGGGATCAGAATGAGTGAGGATGGTGGCCTCAAAAGAGGTTTTCCCAATTCAAAATCCTAGAAAGTTCCCATAGCTACTTCCCTCTTTTTCTTCCCCACCACAACTTCAGAGTCTTTGATGTCATGGAATTTGGTGTTTTAAAAAACTTAGCTTTCAGGGGCTGGGGATTTAGCTCAGCGGCATAAGTGCCTGTCTTGCAAGCAGGCAGTCATGAGTTCGATCCCTGGTACCAATAAAAAGGAAAAAGACAAAAACAAAACAAAACGAAACAAAACAACTTAGCCTTCAAGATCCGAAATCACAGTATTGTAGCCAGTTAAGTGAGATGAAAATACTGTGGAAAGTCAGACAGGGCTGGGCCCTCTCCGAAGTCAGTGCAGGAGATAGAAATACACGCAGACTCTGGAGGTGCATCAGAAGTAGATTAAAATCACAATGGCCACATAAAGGGACAAGGGATAAAGGGAAGTTTGTGATTATTGGTATCACCCCTTTCAGATTTCCCATTATCTCATTGGGGTGGGCCATCCCACCCACTAAGACTAAAATGAAAGACAAGACCATAGGCCTGAATTCTGGACAACAAAGGCAAGGCAAGTGGCATTACAATCTCTGACTTGAAGTTATACCACAAAGCTACTGTGATAAAAACAGCATGGTATTGGAAAAAAAACAGACCCGAGGATAGCTCAGCTATATAGTGCCTACCTGGTGAATATGAGGTTATGAGTTCAATTCCCAGTACAAACAACAACAACTCCAGACACACAGTTAAGGGCCTCTGACAAAGGTGCCAAACACCTTCACTAGAAGAAAACCTCTTTATTAAATGGTTTTGGGAAAACTGGATTTCCACATGCTAAAGACCCATGTCTCTTACCATGCACTAAACTAAAATCAAAATGGATCAAAAATCAAACTATTAAAACAAATACTAAATATGCTAGAAGATAGAATAGATAAAACACTGGAAGATATAAGTGTAGGCAAAGACTTTGTGAACAAAACCCCAGCTGCAGAGGAAATATCACAGAGAATCAACAACTTGGATCACATCTTATTAAAAGGCTTTGGCTTAGCATGAGCAACTAAAACAGAAACACCGTGACACCCAGGATTTGGAGGCAGATTTATATTCATTGACAGGCACTGACAGGGATCATTCCCAGAGTGTCCGGGAATTTTCCAGAATAAGCAAGTAGGAAGTACAGGGGCAGAATGGCTTGTCCACTGGGGACTGGTGTGCACAATGTATATCACAGTGACAGCCATTTCTAAGAGACAGAAGCAACTAGAACTGGAATAGAAACTATTACTGGGCAACTGGCTGATGGGGGAGGGGGAGATTTTCTGTTGCAAAATCACCAACAGACTGAAGAGCCCGTAGGGAGCCATTGAAGCTGGAGATTGCTAACACCACGCGTGGGGCTACAGCCAGTCCAGTCCAGAAAAAACAGAGACCAAAACAAGTTATGTAAACAAGTTTTTCCAGCACCAAGAAGACAAGGGGCCCAGGCCTGCCAGGCAAACAAGTTGCTAGGCCTTGGGCTTGAAATTGACATTCTTTCTGGTGAAGTTAAGTTTAGTGGTCTCAGTCCCTGCCCTGGCAAGCGGGAGGTCCTGAATTCATCCTGGTACCAAAAAAGAAAAAGAAAAAAGAAATTGACATTCTTCTTTGGAGGGTATAAATGAATGTGCTACATTGGTTGAGCAGGTCCTCTCCTCCCGCAAGAGGATAAGGGCTCCACCTGACCCCAGCTTTGTCTGTCTTTATTTTTCTCATCGTCTCATGGTCTTTTACCGCAAGAACCTTATGAGCCGCACTGGATCTCGGCAAGAGGTAACCCACAGTATGGGAAAAATGTTTGCCAGCTGTCCCTCAACAAAGGATCACTACCTACGATATATAGAGAACTTGAAAACAATCAGGACACCCCCAAATTTAAAGCCTAGTTCCAAAATGGGCATCAAAATCGACACTTCTCAGAAGAAATAGAACTGTCAAATAAGTATATGAAAAATTGCTCAACATTTTTGGTAATTTGGTAATTCAAGAAATGCAAATTAAAATGACTCTCTGAGATTTCATCTTACTCCATGGTAATACTTTTTTTTTTAGAGGGGGCTGGGAATCAAACTCAGACCTCACACTTGCCAGGCAGGTGCAGCACCATTGAGATAAATTCCCAGCCCCTCCATCTCCAGAAAGAATGGTTACTGACAAGAAATCAATCAATGAGAACTGCTGGAAAGGCTGTGGGGGAAAAGGAACCTTTCTCCACTGTTGGTGGGAGTGTAGACTGGTGCAACCACTGTGGAAATCAGTGTGGAAATTACTCAAAAACTAGGACTAGGAATAAGTTTGGTTTCATTCAACCAACTTATTCCACTTTTTGGTATCTTCCTGAAACAATTAAAAATATACCACAGCTCCTCGTTAGTATAGTGGTGAAAAAAAATATACTACAGCAATACATGTATACCCATGTTTATATCAGCAGAATTTGTAATAACTAAATCTTGGAAACAGCCCAGATGACCATCAACTGGTTAATGGATACAGAAGATGTGGGGGTTTTTTTTTAATACAGTGGAATACTACTCAGCCATAAAGAAGGATAAACTTGAGACATTTCTAGCTAAAATGAATGTGCTTTGAGACATACTCAAGCAAAATAAATTGGACACACATGTATAAATATCAAATTGTTGGTTGGGGATTTAGCTTAGTGGTGTAAGAGCCTGCCTGGCAAGCACAAGACTATGAGTTCAATACCCAGTACCACCAAAAAAACAAACAAAAAACAAAAAACGGTCAGCAAATTGTTTCTCTGGTGTGAGAAACTGAAGGTGTAAATAAGGACCTAGAGGAGTGGAAAAAGAGAAATTGTGTATTATGTACATGTACAAATTCCCTATGATGAATGTGATCATTTTTATCAATAAGCTTAATAATAATAAAAAGACTGTAGACCAACTGGGCCGGAGCACTCCTGTAATCCCAGCACTCAGGACGCTGAGGCAAGAGAATTA